CGCCTGGCTGGGCATCCGAGTTGGGACTGGCTTTGGTGAGATTTCGTGATGGGTGTAAGTTGGGGTGTTCCCCCTTATACCAACAGTCCTTAATAGGGGTGGTAGTACCCCCTATTTGAGTAGTCCCTACTAAGGACTGTCAGTATAAGGGGGAACATCCCAAGGTGTAAGGGGCGTAGGTTGAATACAGCCCCCACCCGATAGCAGTCATATACAGGATCTTACCAAGGCAAAATAGTGTTACAATTCGTGATGTAGGGGGGCTGTTATGGGGTGGAGCCCCTTGGTTGTTTTTTGCACGCCCTTGCTCTCACCCAGACGCAGTCGTTTGTCAGCATGTTTGCGGGTGCCTTATGTAGCTCTGAGCCATGGGACTCTCCCTTGGACCCCAAAAGTTGTACACTCGGGTTTGGGGGCCCGTTTTAAAGATCTCCTAAATAAATACAAGCGCCATATTCGGAGTATAATTAAGGGAAATCGTGAGGGGTACATCCTTGGGGGTACGATTCTTAATCCCTTGACTGTGCCTACCGGCCGGTCCGTTTTGGTGGGTCCTGTTGGAGAAATCCGTAGACTCTTCAGAACTCAGCTAGGGGCATTGTCGGTGCAGTTTCCGCCCAGGGGTCCAAGGGTCCAGGTATTATTGAGCCCTAAACACCAAACACGAAACCCTAAACCCTAAACCATAAACCCTTGTAAACCCTAAACCCGAAGCCCTTAACCCTAAACCCTAAACCCTAAACCCTGAACCCTTGTAAAACCCTAAGCCCTAAGCCCTAAGCCCTTAACCCTCAACCCTCAACCCTCAACCCTCAACCCTCAACCCTCAACCCTCAACCCTCAACCCTCAACCCTCAACCCTCAACCTAAACTAGGGTTTAGGGTTTAGGGTTAAGGGTTTGGGGTTTGGGGAGGGGTTAGGGAACGGTTTAGGGTCTTCGGGTTTCGGGGTCGCCCTACATCCTAAGCCCGGCGTCCGAGGTGCGATTTCTCTCCGATCTCGGCCCTTGCGGAGAGGACGTCCCGCTTTTCGAGGCCCCGGCTAAACATCCTCATATTTGGCTTCGGGTGTAGGATTTAGGGATTCAGGGTGTAGCCAGGCAGGCAGTGGTGAGGAGACAACTCCTGCAAAAAGCGTTTAGCCAGGCGAGGACTCGCAGAAGGGTTGCTTCATATTGCCGTTTCTGGTCAGGGCATACAGGGTTCCCCACAAGTATTGAGGAGTATATACATGGGGGTGCGGGGTGTCCTTTGGTACATCACATCGCGTCTATTGTCCCTCGTTGTACAAAACTTAAAAACCCTAAACCCTAACCCTAAACCTTGACCTAAAACCTTCAGCCCTAAACCCTAAACCCTGAACCCTAAACCCTAGGCCTTAAACCCTGAACCTTAGACTATTAGACCCCGAAACCCTGTTTAGGGTCCAGGCATTCAGGACCCTAAAACCCTAAGGCTAAACCCTAGCCCTAAACCCTAAACCCTAAACCCTAAACCCTGAACCCTGAACCCTGAACCCTAAACCCTAAACCCTAAACCCTAAACCCTAAACCCTAAACCCTAATTTAGGTTTTACTAGATCAGCCCTGGAGCTTTTCGCTTCTTGAGGCCTCCGACTCCCAGAAGCCTCAACCCCCAGACCCCCCCCCCCCCCCCAAACTTCTCAACTCATTTTGGGATGTCCCCCCTTGGGCTTTAGGGTTTAGGGTTTAGGGTTTAGGGTTGGGATGTCCCCCCTAACAGTCTTGAATAGGGATATATAGTGCCTCCTATTACTTTGGAGGTTCAGGGTACATATAACACCAATTGTAACTGTACTTATAAGCCCCTAAGTCCCCGAAGTAGGTTATAAGTAGACTTACAAAGAAATCATGGTTTAGGGTTTAGGGTTTTGGGTTTAGGGTTCACATGAACCTCCAAGTAAGGACTGTTAGGATAAGGGGGAACAGTTCGAGTCCCTGTATCCTCCCATAGAGGGATCCGGGGGGACATAAGGCACCCAAGAGCTGGCAAGAAACCTTTTGTCGACCCTAAACCCTAAACCCTAAACCCTAAACCCTAAACCCTAAACCCTAAGCCCTAAGCCCTAGGCCCTAAACCCTAAACCCTTAACCCTTAACCCTGAACCCTTAACCCTTAACCCTTAACCCTTAAACCCTAAACCCTAAACCCGAAACCCTAAACCTGCAAACCCTAAAACCCTAAACCCTAAACCCTCAACCCTCAACCCCAAACTGACTAGCTTTTGTTTTGGGGTTTAAGGGGCCACCCTGATGTGACAAACCTTTTTCTGCGTTGCCTTTAAACTTTAAAGGCATCAGTTCTTGATTTCAATGGACGACCATTCCCGGAACGAGTCCCTGCAATGTGGCCTCAGTGTCAGCTAGGCGGGTGGCAAAAAAAGCACAAACACCCTAAACCCTAAACTCTGAACCCTGAACCCTAAACCCTAAACCCTAAACCCTAAACCCTAAACCCTAAACCCTAAAACCCTAAACCCTAAACCCCAAACCCTCCAGAGGGCTAAACAAAACCTGCAGCGCGAGTCACGAAACCCAGCAGGCTGCGGGCCTGCCCACCGCTCCGCCCACTCGCCGGCTCAGGGGCAAGCAGAAGGTAGGGTTTAGGGTTTAGGGTTTAGGGTTTAGGGTTTATAGGGTTTAGGGTTTAGTTTAGGGTTTGGGTTTGGGGTTTGGGGTTTAGGGTTTAGGGTTTGGGGTTTAGGGTTTGGGGTTTGGGGTTTTGGGATAAGGCTGGGGAGGGGGGGGGGATGCGGGGGGTGTAAGGGTTTGTAGGGCTTCGAGGTGCAGGGATTCAAGGGTTTCGAGGTGTAACCCTACACCCTCAATCCTAAACAGGCTGTTGAGGGCCTGTTCAGGTCTGATAAGCTTTAGGGCCTAGGGTTTAGGGCTTAGGGTTTAGCGCTTCGGTATGCACTTGTAGCTGACTAGCATGTAGAGTTCACTATGGCCGACTTGATGATTGAGAGTTGACTGACTTAGTGGCCAATGCACCTCCTATCGCCCTAAGCAAAACCCACCCTAAACCCTAAACCCTGAGACACGGAAGCCGTCGACAGACATCTGTATACGGAATCCTCACCTGGCTTTTCCGCGCTGTGAGCGGTTCAGCCGTAATCCTTACACCCCTGCAACTCTAAAGCCTTTACAATCCCTAAGCCCAAAAAACCCCAAACCTGGACCTAAAACCCTAAACCCAAAAAACCCCAAACCTGAACCCTAAAACCCTAAACCTGAACCCTAAAACCGTGAAAACCGCTGTACAGTTGAAGTGACGGCTGCCTTGCCTGCCTTGCGCGAGTGTCTGAGAGGTGTGAGAGCCGAAGTTGCCCCCCCCCCCCCCCCCACACCCCTTTCCCCTCCCCTTGAAGGGTTTAGGGTTTAGGGTTTAGGGTTTAGGGTTTAGGGTTTAGGGTTTAGGGTTTAGGGAAACCCGCTCCCCTTCTCAGGCACCTCCCACACCGGCGCCCTCACAGCCACCTGCGCCGGTGAAGCGCCGCCCTCGAAGCCGGGTGCGTTTTTTGGGAGGTTCATGGGTCGCTTCATGAGCGTAGTGCAGGGTTTAGGGTTTAGGGTTTAGGGTTTAGGGTTTAGGGTTTAGGGTTTAGGGTTGAGGTGCTGAAAATTACCACACAGGTAAGTACATACTGGAGCTGAGACCTTGTGAGTCAGGAGTCTACTTAGAACCTAGTTAGTGGCTTAGGGGCTTGCAAGTATGCTGCTAATCGGGGTTACAAGTACCCCGAACCTCCAAGTAGGGTTTTTCGAAGCTTCCAATACTAAGGCGATTCACAAGGCCACACTAAGGGCCCCGGGGTTCCCATGGTTCCATTTTCTCCCCGGTCTTGTTGGGCTTTTGGGGGCTCTTGTGGCTTCAGGAATTTTGGGTTGAGGCGCAGGGTCTCGGCCGCAGCATGGGCCCCAACAAGAGATTGAGCCTTGGAGCAAACTGTGCGGTCAGGGCATAACGGTTTTGCAGCTCTCAGCCCTTGCGCCTTACACCCGAAACCCTGAAACGGGCTTCGGGTGTATGGCCCTTCGGGCTCAGGGTCTGAGTTGCATTGGACTACTATACTCTAATGCTTTTTTTTTGGTTCTGGGTTCCTACTATAACTACTCATACCGAAGACAAGTACATACTTCTTTTCCAGGGTCTACTGCAGCTTTCGGCTCCTCCCAAGCCCGAATCGCAAATCTGCTGCAGATGCCGAAGTAGCTTAGGGTTTAGGGTTTAGGGTTTGGGGTTTAGGGTTTAGGGTTTACCGAAGTAGCTAAGATGATTAAAGGCAAATGGGCCCCGACACTTTATGCTTGCCCCGCCCGCGACCTTGAACTCCTGGAAGCCTTCCTGGAAAACCCTAAAACCCTAAAACCCTATAAGGCCCAAACCCCTGAGGGCCTAGGATTTCGAGATTACGGTGTATAGGCCTACTAGTAGAGTAGGTAACCTTGAACCTTTTTGGGGTAGTATAATGCCTTTATAATCCCAAAGGTTAACCTTTACTTTTCCCAGGTTACTGGACAACCAAGTAGGAGAGTATACCCCGGAGTCCACTGAAGCATTCGATCGCCGGCTGACTTGGCGGAAAGAAGCGGAGCCCCTCGGTTGCCGAAAGGGCTCAGGCTATTCGGGCCTTTGAAGCCTTCCCCAGCTTGGCTGCCACCATAAAAACTTTGGGCAATGCAGTAGATGAGCGTGCAAGCCTCAGAACCCTGCTGAATTTGCAGCCTCGTCTCTGAATGTTTCTGTGTTTAGTGGCTGGAACATGTGCAGGATCTAGGAATGCCTTACGGGAACAGGCAGCAGTGATTTCACTGGTAGTCTTAGCTGCAAGTCCCAGCCCCTTGTTCTGCCTGTCGCCTTTCCGTACCCACCTGTTCTTTAAAGCCCCACTGCTTACTTGAGCCGTTGTGGCTCAAGCCTTTGCAGCCCCCTAGCGCCCGCTCCACCTCCCTCGCGTGAGTGGCCACCCGTGTGCAATGGCTCGAATGGCCCGACGTCCCGGCACTCTGCCGCTGGCCCTGGCCCTCGTCCTGCTGGCTGTGCGTTTTGGTCCGAGCTTTGTGCCCGGCACGGCCCCGACCCTCCGGGTCCAGGAAAGCCTTCGGCCTCAGCGCGTCGTTCGTTTCGCAGACCCGGAGGACGAGGAGCACGTCACGGCCTTGGCGAAGCTGGAGGAGGAGATTGAGGCGAAGATCGAGGAGGCCGACAAAGCCGAGGACAAGACTCGCATGTCCGAGCTCGCTCGCCTCCTGGTTCTGACCCGCACGAGCGCGGCCGCCACGGCTTGGCAGCTGACCACAGAGTTGAAGAAGGAGGTGGGAACCAGCGTTGCCGCCGCCATCAGCGAGTTTGTTGGGAAGGAGGCCTACAACATCGAGGATGTCGCGACAAAGGTCGAGGAGAAGGTCACGGCCGCCGTGAAGAAGCTCGACAATGTCTACCTCACCACCGACGCGGCCAAGGTGGCACCCGAAGGGAGCGACCCGATCATCCTTTCCCAGGTGGTAACTTGGCAGCCCGGTGGTATCCCTTTGCCCCTTTTCTTTGGTTCAAGGTTCCCTTATAAAGTAACCAAAACCCTAAACCCTAAACCTTAAGCCCTAAACCCCAAAAAGGGTACCCTTATTCTACTATTTCATATTGGGATAGCAAGGTAAAGCCAGTGGCCGGCCAAATCAAGGAAGGTGCCAAGGAGGCCGCATTGGCCTTCACAGGCCTGGGCTGGATTTGGGGACCGAATCTTACAGTCCTGTGGGCCCTCATCCTTAGCGCATAGAATCATAGAAGCTGAAGTTTTTCTATGCGGCCCCCAAGTCCCAAACCCTAAACCCTAGAAAAACTAGAAACCCCAAACCCCAAACCGCAAACCCCAAACCCTAAACCCTAAACCCTAAACCCTAAACCCCAAACCCCAAACCCTAAACCCCAAACACCCGTCTAGGCAAGGAGGAGTACAAGTTCGGGGATGTCAGCAAGGAAGCCGCGGCGCGTGCGAAGACTGCAGTGGCCACCCTCTTAGGCAAGGAGGAGCTTCCGGGACCACACTTAGTGGAGCCCTTTTCTTCCAGTTTTGGTAGGCTTCAGGGTTTGGGGGCTCAGGTTCTTTGTGTGTTTTGGCCGCTTTAAGCCAAAAAGTTGAGAGCACCCCTTGTGTTCTTTAGGTTTGTCTTGAGCCGTAGGTATGAGTTCGGGGATGTGACGAAAGCCGCAGTGAACAAAGCCATGGACAAGATTGCGGACTGGACGGGCAAGGGAGAGTACAAGTTCGGGGACATCACCAAGACCCTGCTCCGCAAGACCCTGAACTACCTGGAGAAGGACGACTGAGCTGCGCGTTTAAAGAAGGGACGGCCCAAGCTGCGACGGCCCAAGCTGCTGGATGCGCTCCTTTGAAGGGGGTCGCTCAGCAACCCTGACGCCCAAGGCTTGGCGCCACGCAGCTCTCAAAGCTGCGGAGAGCGGGAACCCATTTCTCGAGCCGCAGTTGCTCCAGTCAAAGAGCCCACTCCAGGACTTCTTATGGGGGAAGCCCTAAACCCCAAAACCCTAAAACCCTAAACCCCAAGACCAGAACCCCCTCCCCCTCCCGGTTTAGGGTGTAGGGTGTATAGGGTTTAGGGTTTAGGGTTGAGGGTTTAGGGTTTAGTCAAAGTTTTGACCGTTGCGCAAAACGGGTTTGGGGTTTAGGGTTTGGGCCCTGGCGGGGAGAGGGGGGGTGGGTAGGCTTATGAGGGTGTAATGTTAGGTTGTCCATGGGGCGACGCCCAAAACCACCTGGCACGGTACCCCAAGCCATACACGCCCCGCCTAAACCCTAAACCCGAAACCCTAAACCCCAAACCCTAGACCCCAAGCCCTAAACTCTAAACCCGAAACCCTAAACCCTTAACCCTAAACCCCCTCCCCCGAACTTAAACTTTTGGGATCCGACGCCACAAGCTCGGCCGTGATCTCCACACGGTCCCTTTCCGGGCACCCTATACACCCCAAGCCCGAAACTCCACAGCAGACCCTAAACTCTAAGTTATGTAGTGGTTGGAGTAAGTACTAAGAACATTTTGTCAGGGTCCCTGTATAATGACTCCCAAATTCTAATTATTAAGGCCCCTCTAGTAGATAGACCCCAAAAAGAACCATGAACGCATCCGACTTCGGCCTTGGAGCTTCAAGAGAGTTACTGGGGCTCTGGAGTTTTCAGCTCCCAGGATAATTTTCGTAGGCGAGTGCTTCCCCACCTCCTACGCTAGTTCTTGTTGGGGTGCGCGTAGGTTCCTCATTCCTTAAGCCCCTACGAAGAAGAACGCGAAACAGAGTTCTTCGGATGAGGTTCCTGCCAGCTGGAAGCAGCGTGTCTTGGGCAGCAGGGGGTCCACGATGAAGTTCCCAGAGAGTTCACTACCCCACTTGATTGAGGACCATGCCTGCAACCCAGTAGGGTTTAGGACCGGGAAGTATACCCCGCTACCAAGGGCAGCTGTCCTGGCACACTGCCGGTCTGGTTCGAGCATGGCTGAAGCTGAGCTGCACACATCTTTTCGGAGGGGCTTCTGTGTAAGCGTCAGGGTCCACGGCATTCAGTGAGCAAGGCTGAGGCACTCGACCCCCTGAATCCTAGATGCTTTCTAGGGGTCATGGAGCCAGTGCTGGGACATCTCCCGAATGCATTCAAGGACACAAGCTAACATTGGTGGTCCCCCGAAAGATTTGTTACCAGGAAGAAGGTTTGAGTCAAATGCGGGGAGGATCGATGCGCACACCTCAACGCACGAGCTTCATTCAGCCTGAAACATCTTGGACGTTTAGGGTTTAGGGTTTAGGGTTTCGGGACTGCCCAAGCCCGGATGCAAAAGGGTTTCGGGTTATGCAGGTGTGTATGAAAGTTGTCTCGTCTGAATCGCCCCTCTGATGCTGCAGACTTTGCTATCCGAGGGTGCATGCGGTTATGGGTGGAGGGCATACACTCTTGCAACGAGCGTGTCGAAGCTTACGCCCACCCCGAAACGCAAGCGGCACCCAACTACCCGAGGCGCTTTTCAAGTGAAGCGCCGGAGCTCCACCGGCGTGTCAGCATCTCCTGCGAGGGGGTCATGTAGGTTTGGCATGGCCTTCGGGTCTCGAGACTTAATGCGGCATGTTCACCCTCAAGCCCCAGCCCCAAACCCCCAATGAAGCGGCCTTAAAACACAGGAAAGTACGTATGAAACATGTGGCTTGAACTTGTATGGTACATTCATCAACTACCAAGACGGGCCCAGAATTTCAAGCTGCCAACCAGGGGGGCTTTGGGGACTCTGAATCGCATGTCCCTGGAGGTCCTTTCCACGAATTCACATGAGTGCTGACCGAAATCGACATGATGGGATACGTCGTATCATGTAGGGTTCAGGGCTTAGGCCTCTCACCCCAAAAGAGTCGGCCATGTTCTAGATCAACCCCGACCATCAATCGAAGACAAGGGCCATGATCCTCTGGGTCGCTGGGCCAGAGGGGCCATGCGCAAACGCATGGCTTCCTCGCAAGCCCTGCGTGTTGCCAAGAAAAGGTGCTTTGCCCTGTGCCCTGGGCTAGACTTCAGGCCCTCTACAGCCCTAAGCTTGGACTCCTCTGTACATCTGTACACGAAAGTAAAAAGAACATCCTCCCCCCCCCCCCCCCCGCCCCCTGGCTCCCATCTTGCACGGCTTGGATAGAACGTGGTCCTTCTGCTTACATCTCGGAAACCACAATCAGTAATCTCGGCTCGCACCTGGTCTCAGACTTCCTCCTGACGCGGTGTAGCCTCCGTGGTCCAGTTCCTCAAGCCCTACTCCCCATATACGATTCCCTGAGTGTAAAAGGGACCCCTCCTCCTCCTCCTCCTCCGTCATGCACATAGTGCCAAGGTTGGCGCACCTTTGGGGCTTCAAGCGGAGGCGCGCCCTAAACCCTCGAAAACCATGGGTGGTCTTTGGGCTTCAGGGCTAAAAAGGGTTCTGCATGTTTTTAGTTTTGGACAGTGAGGGGTTTCGCAGAGCCCTGGCATTGAAGTTTTAAGTCTTTCAGTAGGGTTTAGGATAAGTTTTTTTGAGTTTTGGGTTAAGGGCTTAGGGGGGGGGGCATTCGTTATGATGGTGATGTCCAGCATGTTTGCCGGCGTGAGATTATCAAGGCGCGGTTGCATGCAATCATGGAAGCTTTGCCGTGGCTTCAAACGTCTCCCACACCCGTAAATGCTGACCGACCGTCGCCCGCACTCGAGCACAGCCCTAAACGCAAAGCCCTTGGCTGCACGAATCCCAGCCCTGAGCCTCAAGCTCTCCAACGCCTCGGCCCTTAGAGCTTGAGTTTAGGGTTTAGGGTTCAGGGTTTAGGGTAGAACACCATCCCTTATCCCCCCCAAGCCCCCAAAATTCAAAACAAACGCCTAGCCAGCACGTGCGCCAACATAAGACGTGCTGCTGGCCTGCGGAAACTCAGCCTTGAGTCCTAAGTCCGACGGTTTAGGGTTTAGGGTTTTGGGTTTAGGGTTTAGGGTTTAGGGCTATCCCCCCATCGGAGCCATGGATGTGGGCAGCCGGACGGTCGTCGTGAAGCAGCTGGTCGCGCTGGACCCGCAGAGCTGCTACGACGCCTTCCTGCCGCCCCGGCTGCAGGAAGTTCGGGGCTCCGGGGGAAACGTGTGCTGGGAAGATTGGGGAAGGAAGATGTGCCCGACGCCCCCCCCCGCCGCGAAGTATCCGACCCTCTAAGAGGGGTCGAGCCCTAAGTCCATAGCTCCCTTCTGGTTTAGGGTTTAGGGTTTAGGGTTTAGGGTTTGGGAGCCAGGAGGTCCTGTTGGAAGAAGGGCCTGGTGTTTGGGCAGCCTCCGGAGGATGGGTGTTGGGGGCTTGGGAGGCTCTTGTACATCTGATCCTACCTGTATTTCACACCAGTAGTAGCGGCATATATACATATATATGTATATAATATATCTATATATATATATATATATATATATATATATATAAAATTGTTTTTTTATATATTTGTATAGAAGGTTAAAAAAAGAGAAGTAAACATAGGCCACCCCAATTATCGCTTTACTGGGCTGATGATTCCAACCACAAGTGGGGATCAGGATGATCAGAAGCCCTAAACTGAATTAACGAAGATACCTTAACGTGTATCATTATACCTCTACGATGATTTACGGTTCTTCAACTTGGGGGGCGTTGCGTTCTCGGGCCTCGCTGTCAGGGAGGCCCTGCTGATTGGGTTCACGACTCCGGGTCGCACGGACTCTTTTTTTTGAGGGGTTTAGGGGTTTAGGGGTTTCGGGTTTAGGGTTTAGGGTTTGTTGCATGTTTGCCGGCAGCCCCCCAAGTCCGTTGCTCAAAAAAAGGGTTTAGGGTTTAGGGTTTAGGGGTCTTTTTGGGATGGGCCCCACTGTCCTTGCAAGAGTCTCTTCCGATGTGCTGGCACCGCCCTCAGTCCATGCTTCAACAAGGTGCGGGGTTTAGGCCCACAGCTCATGGAGCAGTTCAGAAGAAGGTTGCAGTTTCCGGGGGGGGGGGGGGGGGGGGGGTGCCCTTAAAGCCTACATTGAGACCCAGCGCATCATTCTCGACTACCAACAACCCGGGAGGCGCAAGGTTTGGAAGGAGGGTGCGGGCCTTGGCACGCCGCAGATTTTGGAGGACGGGCCCCGAAAAAGCGAAGACAGAGGCCCCTAGTTCAGGAGTCAACTACGTAGGAATTAATCGGCCGCCCTAGGTCCTACACACCCTCAACCCGAAACCCCTACGATGGCGTAAGGGCGCATGCCTTGATGTTACGGGCTCGTTGAAGGTGCCGAGAGGGTTAATGGGCGAAAAGGTGCAGACAAGGCTATGGGTTTAGGGCTTGGGGCTTAGGGTTTAGGGTTTAAGGGTTCAGGGTTCAGGGTTTCGGGTTTATGTTTGGACCGATTAGCAGTAGCAGGCTGCTTCCCCGTGACTAGTCATACCCAAGGTTGGAAATCTCAAGAGTCACATTCCCTAAGCCCTAAACCCTAAACCCTGAACCCTGAACCCTGAACCCTAAACCCTAAACCCTTGTCTGTTCCTAAGTCCTAGGCCCATGCCACCCTTTCGGGTCCAGGATTTGGGGCTGGGATCCGGTTTCCCGCAGCAGGCCCTACTTCGTCCAACAACCCTAAACCCTAAACCCTAAACCCTAAAGCCTAAACCCTAAACCCTAAACCCTAAACGCTAAACCTCTTACAATCGCTGAAAGTTCATTGGACTCACTACCATCTGGTTTTAAGTGAGGCCCCGATCCACTTGAAAAGTCCCATGAACCCTCCCGCAAAGCCTTTCCGAAGCATACTGCTCCACGCAAAGTACCCATACCCGTTCTAAGTAGATAGGCCCCTAAATTTTTGGCCCCAACGCCCTTCAGCCTCTATGGCAGCCTGGAGAGTACTGGTTTTGTACACTTATCCTTTATCATTTTGCCATCATCACCCTCGTAACCCTTCCAGTGAAGCTCCAAGCCTGCTTCCGCAGCGCGCACTTGGAGGTTCATGGTACTTGTTAACCAATTATAACTGTACTTATAAGTGTACTTATATAACCATATTAGGGCACTTAAGGGCTTATAAGTGGGTTATAAGTGCAGTCATCATTGGTTAATAAGTACCCTGAACCTCCAAGCAGAGGAGGGAGATCCAGAAACCGGCGTGGACTGTGTCCGCCAAGTGGCGCTGGGCATTGTCGAGCCGCGCCCCGCATTTTGTCGGGTGGGATTTTTTTTCCTCCAGGACCCTACACCCTAAACCCTGCTATGACATGCGCCTTTGAAGAGGGTGTGAGAGAGAGTTATGTTGAGATCGTCGGAGACCTGCTGAGCGGTTCGTCCAGCAAGCGGGTGCCAAAAAACCCTAAACCCGAAACCAAGAAGGACGGCGCGGTGTCGTTCCCAAAACAGCCCTAAAAACCGCCGACCCGAGAGGATTGTGTACAGAAGGTGCCGGGGTCTGTGCGTGCCACCCTGAAAATCCCAACCAACCCAAAGTTCCGAAACCAAAAACCCTGAGCCGTACAGGGTTAGGGTTTAGGGTTTAGGGTGTAGAGTTTAGGGTTTAGGGTGCAGGGTTTAGGGTTCAGGAAGCCTAAATCCTTAACCCGTACATGTTGCAACACCGCCACTTCCGTCAGTTTCTGAAGGCTGCGTTTTGCTTGTGCTCTTTTCGCAACCACAAGTTTTGAACGGCCACCTACCACCTTCCCCCCCCCCCCCCACAAATACTCGGAAAACTGGATTGTCTCGACCCTCAACTGACTGACTCTAGGCCGGACCCCACATTCGTATCCCCTAATCCGAAGCCCCCACCCTGCACCCCCGAACCCACAGGAACACATCTTGCAAGGGCAGCGCGGCGACCACTTGGAGCATCCAGAATGAAATTTTAGGGTTTAGGGTTTAGGGTTTAGGGTTTAGGGGATAGGATCTCGTGGTTCAGGGAGTGATTGGGGGCGGGATTGAAGGATGATTGTCAGATTGAACAGGGTTTAGGGTTTAGGGTTTACGGTTTCCAATGACAAGGCATGTTGCAGTGTACAGGGTTCGAGGGGACAAGTTCTGCTTTGGCCTCGTATGCAGCCACAGCAGTGGTTTTTCGCGCCCCGATAGCTTCCGGGATGTATACGGAAGTACTGATTCCTTTGGTGCCCATATAGCTGTAGCTCAACTAGCAATTTCAGAGGGTTTTTTTATTTTTGGCAAGTTCCTGTTCCCTCTGATTTCTTCATTTTGCACCGGCCCCAAACTCTGACATCTTGCAAGAAGCCGGGGTGGGTGTTTACATGTCTATAAGCTCAGGTACCCTAAACCCTAAACCCTAAACCCTAAACCCTAAACCCTAAACCCTGAACCCTGAACCCTGAACCCTAAACCCTGAACCCTGAACCCTAAACCCTGAACCCTGAACCCTAAACCCCCTATCAGGTATGTCATTGAAGCAGGGCCCTGGCCCACCAGCTACAACCGTGCCCGCGTGGACTTCGTGGAAGAGTCGCAGGGTGGGACGTGCGTCACGTGGACCTTGCGCGCCAACAGAAAGGGTTTCGGTTTTAGGGTTTAGGGTTTTGGGGTTTAGGGTTTGGGGTTTTAAGGTTGTGCATGTTTTGAGGGGAGGCTGGGGTTGCAAGAGTTTAGGGCTCAGGGGTTTGCACAGGCCTCCTCTGTTTCAAGGTGGGCAGAGTGGTAGCTTTGGGCTGGGTCCCTGAGTTCATGAGGGCGACCCGATACCTGCCAGGACCTCCAACTTCACACCTTCCTTGTTTGGGTCTGGGCCCTTGTTGTCCTTCACCATCCGCACGTCCTTCCAGACGATGTTGAGGAGCTTGGCTGCGTGAGCCGGCGAGGGATGGTGAGAAAAAAGTGAAGACCTTCTTGACTCTTGGGTGTTGGGGGTTTAGGGTTTAGGGTTTAGGTGGAATCGGGGGTGTCCTAGATGGGAATTGAAGGGCAGCGTCTGAAACCCCGACAGATCATCATGTGGGTGGTGGCGTAGAGGCGCTCGCACCAATGAATGCGCAACGCGCCCCCCCCTCCCTGGAATGATGGTGGCTCTGTGCAAGCCGGAGATCTTGTGCAGCTGCGTAGGAAGACGCCCTTAACCCTACAAAAGCCGTCGCGCCTAAACTCTGAAACCCCCAGAAGCCCGAATGTCCGCCCGTTGCTCCCCTTCACTGTCCGCCCCGACTCGTGGGTCGCAGCATCCCAAACCTTGGGCACTGAACTTGGACGCTTCCCCCCTGGTTCTTAGTAGGGAGCGAGGGAAGGAGGGCCCTGTATATACCTCCCAGGGATGATATAGGACCCCTAATTCCCTCGTTCCCTACTCAGCCAGGCAAAGCCACCAAGCCGGAAGCCAGTCTGCAGGGTCCCTGAGATTCCCTGAGTCCCCTCATTCCCCACCAAGGATCCCGCAAGTTGGGCCCTAGACCCTAGACCCTAAGCCCTAAACCCTAAACCCTAAACCCTAAACCCTAAACCCTAAACCCGGGGGGAGGGGGGGGGATTCCAAGCTCTCTCTGCAGGGCCCCACGGCCCCCACGACGGAGGGTGACGAAGGTGCCCTCAGTGGGAGCCTCGCGGTTCTTGTGGCAGGTTTAGGGTTTAGGGTTTAGGGTTTAGGGTTTAGGGTTTAGGGTTTAGGGTTTAGGGTTTAGGGTTTGCCCCTAAGCCCGGTTGCTTTAAAGGGTTTGGGCAAGCAAGAATTTGAATCTAAATGCTCATACTTGTCTGTTTCTTTGTTTGCTTGTTTGCTTGCTTGTTTTTTGGTTTGTTTGCTTGTTGTCTTATTTGTTTGTTCGTTTGTGTGTGTCTGTGCGTTGCTTCTGGGATGAGGGCCCGCGGCTCTCAAACCCGAACCCTCAAGTGCAGGGCTTCAGATCTGAGTGCCCTTGTGGGAGTCGGGCTTGAGAGAACTTTAGGGGTCGACAAGCCGTGAAACCCTTCCCTAAACCCTAAACCCTAAACCTCATCCCTAAACCCTAAACCCTAAACCCTAAACCCTAAACCCTAAACCCTAAACCCTAAACCCTAAACCCTAAACCCTAAACCCTAAACCCCAAACCCTAAACCCTAAACCCTAAACCCTAAACCCTGACATGACAGGGTTTCGTGCTCAGGGCTTAGGGTGGGCGAGTACAGGGACCCGTGGTGCTTCGCTAAACTGCAAAGGCTTCAGGCCTTTGAATCGTCTTGCAACAACTGAAGGAACGTTTCGCTTAGCACCCTCAACACTAAACCCTAAATGCTAAACCCTAAACCCTAAACCCTAAACCCTAAACCCTAAACCCTAAACCCTAAACCCTAAACCCTAAACCCTAAACCCTAAACCCTAAACCCTAAACCCTAAACCCTAAACCCTATCGGCATAAAGGGCCAGCCTCGACCCCAGCATGGACTCAAAGAGGGAACCGGGCTTTTGCGGACAGAGTGCTAAACTTAGGGAGGGTGTAGGGTTGAGGGTTTAGGGTTTAGGGTTGAGGGTTTAGGGTTTAGGGTTTAGGGTTTAGGGTTTAAGGGTTTTAAGGGTTCAGCATCTCAAGTTCGAGCATTCACTAGTCAAGCAGCTTGTCAAGCGTTGGAAAAAAATCCCACCCACCCAAGAAACCCATAACATTGAGAAAATATAAAGTTCACTCAATACTTTCCCGGTAGGCTTAAAGCTCAAAGTCCAATTGGTCCAAAATATTTTAGTTTTTAACGGACCCAAAACCCGAAATTTTAATCTAAGGCCCGCAATAAGCCCTTTATGCTCTTAGGGCCCGGTTTAGAAGCCCCGATCGGTGAAGGCTCGGTTTTGGTCAAAAATCCAGAAAACGAGAGCCCACCCAGAACCGTCGATTTCAGTACTAAAAAATCGCATTTTTAATTGGGACCCTTGCCGATCCTGGGGTCCCCCTCATTTGGGGTGTTTTGGGAGGCAAACTTTCCCTCTCAAGGGGGGGGTCGGAGTTTGAGGCAAGGGGGGGTCTCCGAAGACTATTTTGCTTTTAAAACTGGAAAATACGACCCCCCCTTGACCAAAACTAGGCTGTGAAAAGGTCGCCGGGGTGGCCCGTCATCAGAATTGAGGGTTAAAAAACCCTGAAACACCCTGAAAAACATTTGAAAACCGTAAAAAAAACTGAAAAACTTTGAAAAACCTTGACAGAACGTGAAAAAACTTGAAATCCTGAAGCCGGTGAAGCTCGGTTTTGGTCAAAAATCCAGACAACGAGAAGCCACCCAGAACCGTCGATTTCAGTACTAAAAAATCGCATTTTTAACTGGGACCCTTGCCGATCCTGGGGTCGCCCTCATTTGGGGTGTTTTGGGAGCAAAATTTAGCCCTAAACCCTATGCCCCAAACCCTACGAGCCCTAAACCCTATGCCCCAAATAGAAAAAACCATTTGCCGACGAAGGGGGTCAGGGTTTAGGGCCCCCCCGGGTGGAAAAAAACCATTTGCCGACGAAGGGGGTCAGGGTTTAGGGCCCCCCCCGGGTGGAAAAAAACCATTTGCCGACGAAGGGGGTCAGGGTTTAGGGCCCCCCCCGGGTGGAAAAAAACCATTTGCCGACGAAGGGGGTCAGGGTTTAGGGCCCCCCCGGGTGGAAAAAAACCATTTGCCGACGAAGGGGGTCAGGGTTTAGGGCCCCCCCCGGGTGGAAAAAAAAACCATTTGCCGACGAAGGGGGTCAGGGTTTAGGGCCCCCCGGGTGGAAAAAAACCATTTGCCGACGAAGGGGGTCAGGGTTTAGGGCCCCCCCCGGGTGGAAAAAACCATTTGCCGACGAAGGGGGTCAGGGTTTAGGGCCCCCCCGGGTGGAAAAAAACCATTTGCCGACGAAGGGGGTCAGGGTTTAGGGCCCCCCCGGGTGGAAAAAAACCATTTGCCGACGAAGGGGGTCAGGGTTTAGGGCCCCCCCCGGGTGGAAAAAAACCATTTGCCGACGAAGGGGGTCAGGGTTTAGGGGCCCCCCCCCGGGTGGAAAAAAACCATTTGCCGACGAAGGGGGTCAGGGTTTAGGGCCCCCCCGGGTGGAAAAAAACCATTTGCCGACGAAGGGGGTCAGGGTTTAGGGCCCCCCCCGGGTGGAAAAAAACCATTTGCCGACGAAGGGGGTCAGGGTTTAGGGCCCCCCCCGGGTGGAAAAAACCATTTGCCGACGAAGGGGGTGCCCCCCCGGGTGGAAAAAAACCATGTGCCGACGAAGGGGGTCAGGGTTTAGGGCCCCCCCCGGGTGGAAAAAAACCATTTGCCGACGAAGGGGGTCAGGGTTTAGGGCCCCCCCCGGGTGGAAAAAAACCATTTGCCGACGAAGGGGGTCAGGGTTTAGGGCCCCCCCCCGGTTTTGGTCAAAAATCCAGAAAACGGGAGGCCACCCAGAAAAGTCGATTTCAATACAAAAAAATGGCATTTTGAACTGGGGCCGGGGCCGATCCTGGGGTCCCCCTCATTTGGGGTGTTTTGGGGGGGCCCCCGGGTGGAAAAAAACCATTTGCCGACGAAGGGGGTCAGGGTTTAGGGCCCCCCCCCGGTGGAAAAAACCATTTGCCGACGAAGGGGGTCAGGGTTTAGGGCCCCCCCGGGTGGAAAAAAACCATTTGCCGACGAAGGGGGTCAGGGTTTAGGGCCCCCCCGGGTGGAAAAAAACCATTTGCCGACGAAGGGGGTCAGGGTTAGGGCCCCCCCCCGGGTGGAAAAAAACCATTTGCCGACGAAGGTCATTAGGGTTTAAATATACATAGTAAGAGAGGGTTTAGGGTTTAGGGCTACTAGTTCTGGATGGTGAACTTCGGCACCATGTAGGGGCCTTTGGTTCCCTAGAGCCAGTAGTTTCAGGACTCTGCAAGCTTGCAACGCCCCCTTGTGCAACCCGCGGCCGAGTTTCACCGTCATGGAAGACTAAGAAGCGAGCAGAATCCCCCAAACCCTAAGCCCTAGGCACCCTAAACCCTCCAGCCCTAAACCCGAAACCCTCAACCCAAAACCCTAAACCCTAAACCCTAAATGGAGGTGTGGCTAGTTGCCATAAACCCTGCAAAGGAACACCTGCACCCCTCAAACGTGCAAGCACCTGTCAGTCCAAGATGCAATTCAGCTCGCGAGGGCTGTCTTACTACCACAAGACTCGTTTCTTATCGATGAATGGGCCAGAACTAGAACCCTAACCCCTAAGCTGCACTAAGGCCCATGAAGTATAGGGGTCGGAATAGCTTCTAACAGGTTTCCCTTATGGTCCCTTTATAAACATACTAGAATAACCCCCCCCCCCCCCCCCCAAAGGCCCCTATATTACGGCCCCCTGTAACCCTAAACCCTAAACCCTAAACCCTACACCCTAAACCCTAAAACTTCTGGGAGTCAGACCGTTGGCCATGGCGGCTCCGGCGGCCTGGGCCGCGTCTTTGTCTCCGGGCGCGAAGGAGGGATGTGGGCTTAGGGTTTAGGGTTTAGGGGTGAAGGGTTCAGGATTTAGTGTTTAGGGTTTGGGCTTCGTGGGGCCGAAGTGTTGAGGGCTTGGGGTTTCGGGCGTCGGGTCGAGTTCAAAAGGGTTAAGCGCCTTGCCGGTACCCTGAGCTACCGACATACCTTCTCTGAAGGGAACTGTCACATCCTTCGGCACCACCCACCCATATCCGACTCCCCATGAGGCCCAGAATTTACACACCAAACCTTCTTGTTGTACTTCTCCCTTCCACGATCTCTCAGGACACGCGAAAAATTGCACACTGCTGCAGTTGATACGTCATCTCGATTCCCGTACCACACTACACAAATTCGCATCAGCTGCAAAGACGATCTGTTATTACTTCAAAAGAAGGATCGTGACACTTCTTGCAAAGGATTTGTTGA